CGGTGCGGTGCTTCTTCAGATATAGACGAAATGAGAAACTCACAAATTGCAAGTGTTGACCAACTTGCAAGTGCCATGTGAAGCCCAAAAGGGAGGAACTTGGTAACTCAAGTCGGCTGCTCTAGAATTCGGGTGAGTGCCTACTGGTAATGGAGCAACCTGGAGGAGACTGGAGCCCCCAACTTGACCGAACAAATTACATTAATTATCCAGGACATGATCCCGGCACACCATGAAGGTTAGTAGGTAGTCAAGGTAGCTAGCTAGTAATACAATACATTATCCATACATCTCAATCATTCATTCCTCCCCAGCGGGGGGAGGCACCTCCAAACCTTTACACAAGATCTTCCCCAAGATATTCTCCAAACCCTCATTATCCAAGAAAAAGCATCGTCTCATACATCATCTCACATCGTTTCAATACCCCTCCTGCTGACCACCGTCATATATCGCGTTCGCACTCCCGTCAACATGGCCATGATGCTCGTTGAAACTCCACTCGACCTGCTGGTCCACAAACGGCCCCATCCCGCCGTGCTCGTTCGTAAACTGCGCCGCCCCCGGCTCGGCATACATCATTCCCTTCGACTGCACATGATGGAGCGTCTGTGTGCTAGCACGGTGGTCGTCTGGCATAGTCTTGTTGCAACTGGGGCAGTACATGTTCTGGCATCGTCCGGCAGGATGGGCCTCCACTAGTGTCTGACTGGAGTCGCGGTTCTCGTCTCTCATCCAGGAGAGCGATGTCCGCGGTGTCGACGACGACAGAAGCTGTCGGCTTGACCGGATAGATGAGTGCCGCAAATCGACATTGTCTTGCATATTTCCGTCCATTTCTGTGGGCGATACCTCAGCGGGCGGGAAGTAGGACGAGAGGACTTGGCTGGGGGCCACTCGTGGGTACTGCATTGGCGGGCTGGGGTGCTGGCCTGGGAAGACTGGGTTCGGGCTGGTAATGTAGGGCATTCCAACGTAGCTGGTTGGCACGGGGACAGTGAGCGTCTCCCAATTCGACTGGTACGTCGATGGTATCGAGTCATGGGCTGGGGCGCTTGTCATTGTGATTTGTGCGGGTTGGCTAGGTAGAACTTGGACTGGCCGAGGTCGAAGAAGCGAGCTAGAATTAGAAGGCCGAAGCGACGGAGTTCGTGCTCTTTCTGCTGGCACCGGTATTTGGGATACTGGCTGCGTCTTGACCGGTACTTCGGATTTCCTGACCCGTTTGTGAGGAACATTGTATCGCCTCCTGAACGCTCCACTTTCCGAGGAGGAAGCTGGGGTGGGAGCAACCATGATGTCGGGGGTGTCGCTGCTAGGAACGAGGTTGGCCGAAATCATATCCCCATGCACTGTCGGTGTTAGCGCAGGCGAAGGTGGGAGCAGTTGAGGAGAATCGGCCCAACTTTCGACTGCACTGGGCCGCCGGGCAACAGCAGCGCTTGCCAGGAAGGAGACGGCGGCACCAGAGATCCCACAGATTCGTTGCTCCCATTCCTGCACAATGGTCTCAATCCAGTTGTAAATTGAACTGGTGCTCCTGTCAAGACCTTGGCGAATCTTCAGATCCATGTCCATTGGTGGCGAAGTGTCTTCAAGGATGTAGCGATACTGGAGCTCAAGGAGATCTTTCAGCTTGTCCAGGACGCCCTTTGACTCATCGACAAAATCGTGGATTTCCATCACAGGAATGAAACCTTTGCAAGTCAGATAATGATTTTCAACCATAGCTAGAAAGTGTTTCGACATACCTGGTTCGGGAATGCTGCGGTCTTCAGGGAAGAGGAGTTTCCAGAGTGAGTTCCAGTTGTCGATTTTCGCCCTTATGCTTCTGGCTTCCAAGGAGGTGATGATTTTCTGCGTGATGCCATCCTCGGGGTTTGCATTGCCTTGGTCGTCCGCTATGCGACACATGACCTCAACCTGCTGCCTCAGATGATGATCCAGGTCATGTTTCACCGAGAACCCTTGACAGCACCTGGGGCAGGAAAAAAGACCAGCGCTCCTGCGGACCGGAGGATGATGGGCGCGGATGTGCTTTCTGGGGAAACGATTAGAACAGTGCTTCAAATCTCGTTGCCCGCTGGATTGTAACTCACTTTAGTTGCGATATGTCGGAGAAGGAGTGTGTCGCACACACATAGTGGTCGCGGACGTTGAACCGAAGGGGATTGCGCTTTCGGTAAGGGCAGCTGAGGTTGGAACTGGCAGCATTCTTGCCGCTGTACCCGCTAGCAGCGGCAGACCTCTCGCCTTCTTCCCTGTTGCCTCCGCCGTCATCCCGACCGCCGAACCCATTCCCACCCTCGTCGCTGCCCTCCGCCTTTCTCTTCCCACTGCTCTTCTCATTGTAACTCGAGCCATGCTGATCCCCATCACCAAACCCCTGAGAGTTGTCGCCATGAGAAAAGGATGATGCTTGTGTGTACACGTTTCCGAGTGTCCCCTCGTGAACAGCAAGCTCTAGCTCCTGAAGATACCTCTGCGTGCAATCCAGAACTAACAACGGGGCAGCGCATTCGTCCACCTCCTTTCCCCAAGTGTCCCGCAGGACCAAGGTTGAAATCTCGTCGACGAGTCTGGCAGTCTCGTCGTACTGGTCATCGCCCTCATAGCTCTCAAAGGCCGCGCTGGTCCCGGGTCCGGGGCCGGCTCTTGGGGTACTTGGGGAAAGGGGCTGCGGGCGGTCTTGTGGGACATGCTGCGAGCCGGCTGGTTGATCACTGCTGTCATGCTGTTCGTGGTGACACAATGACAAGCGCGAATCTGCACGGCTGCACTCGGACTGGGTGTTGACACACGTGGTGGACGAGAGGATCGAGTCGATAGACCCGATACCTCGGTTGTGCCTGCGGAATGGGAGATCGGCCATTGGGGGTTTAGCAGGCGCTGTGTCATCTCGGGGCTTTCCTTGCTGACCCGACTTTGTGGTCTCGATGTCGGCGGTGGAGGGCGCGAAGGTCTGGGGCACGGCGTCTGTTGGGCTGCTTGGGGCTGTGGTACCCGAGAGCGACAAGGCGTCTATGGCCGGGTCGGTGGAACCATGGTGGAAGTCTGCGTATTCCTCTGCAGACTTGGTGACATGGACGTTGACATTGACGTCGACGGTGGCGGCGGCGGTGGTGGTCATGGTCGTCGTCGTCATACAGGTGTCGAGCTTGGTGAATGCACCCTTCCGCGAGTACGTACCACCAGCAGCAGCCCCCGCTCCGGCAGGTCGGAATCGATGAGGTATGGAGATGACAGTGTCATCATGATTGGCAAGCTTTTGTGCGACGCGCGATGACACGAAGTCTCCGCCCCTGTTGCTGGCCTCCATCTCTTGGAAGATCGGAAACTCGATCGGGAGCGACCACGGCCAGGGCAACCACGTCCAGTCCAGGGCACGTCAAGGAGGACCCTGGGGCTTGCTTGTCCGACCGTCCGAACGACCGACACCCAGGACCAACCCGACCCGACGACCCTGTTGCCGCGACACTTCCGCGGCGGGTCAATGGCAATGGCGATTGCAATTACCAAAGGTCAGCAATCAATGCGACTGACTGCCCTGGCGCGGCCCGCCTTGCTGCGAATATGACACAGGAATGACCCCAGGTCGGGATCGGGAAATGGGATAATAGCCCAGGTCAGGTCAGGTACAGGCAGGCCAGTCAAGTAAGCGCTGTGGGTATCTGGCAACTGGCAACTGGCAGCAGCGCGGCGACGTGTTTCGGCGGGAGCAGGCAGGCAGTGGAGGTCAGGTCGGGAAACGGGGAAATGGGGAAACGGCGAAGCGTCAAGTCTGCGCTCCTGCCTGCCAGACTGCCAGAGTTGTGACTTGTGGGTTCGGATTGTTCGGGGAAGGAGCGGATGGGACAATCGAAACAAAGTGCTTTCGTCCAGTTCATGCAAAAGAGATGAAAAGGGGATCCAACAGGAGAATCGAGGGCGGCTGCATCCCGGCCATTTTCTCTTTGCTGAAGGATGAACCACCTCTCAGCTGCCTCCAATCTGACCTGGCCCGAGCCTCGCGACTCCTGAATCTGGCGTGTCGGCACCAAGCCAAGACCCAGGACGTGTTTTAATTTCGATCGCCCTAGGCCTGAACCTGCACCCGTGGCGTCCAGCCAATTACCTGCAAGCGCGTCGGGTGCGCCTGCCATTGGTTCAGTCAGCCCTTCCTGGCCTGGATCCTACCCTTGTCGCCCTTGGCTGCATTCGTTTAGAGACCACCTGCGTTCGCTTCCAGCTTTGCCTTGTGTCGCATCGATCTCTCTTGCCTTACAGGATGCCAACCGATAAGATAAGATACACCAACGACGCCCGCTTTTGCCCAAAGAGGCATTCACTCATTTGGCGGCTGCGACTCAAGCGACTCAAACTTGCTTGCTTTTTTTTTGCGCTCATTTTCGGTCCTTTTCATGTTTTGTTGCGTTTTCTTGTCTATCATATGTCTTATGCTCTGTCTATCAAAGTGTCTTAATCAACTTCCCTTCTGGGTTCTGATGGTGGGTGTATGACGACTCGGATCATCAGAAAAAACACTGAAATTAAGCCTAAGAAAGCACAGGATGAAGCAATATTCGGCACAAGTACCCCGGTACCCATTTGCAGTTGTCCTGTTGGTCGTTTGACTATGTCAGCAAGTTGAGTGCTATGACCTGATAAACGACAGTTTTCAACTCCCCAATGGTCACCACCTGAGTTAACTTTTCAGACAAACCCCCCCGGAACCACTCAGTCAAGCGAGTACTACGACTTGGTGGAGTCAGATATTCGCACAAAAATAAGTGGGTCCCAGCAACAGCAATATTTCGCTACAGTCCATCATCGCGACCTCCATTTACGCGAGAAGCTCCTTTTCTTTGAGACTGATATTCCCACTCGAACCCATCATCAACTCAGCCCGGAACTTCCCAGCAACCAAGAGCACCGTTTCTGTATCATCCCTCTCTCATGTAGAGAGCAGATGCCAACACCGGCAAAAAAGACGAACCTATTCCCCCGAATCAAAAGGGGAATGACAAGGGTGGGATTCGAACCCACGCCTCTTGCGAGACCAGCAGATACACCGAGGATAATAATTCAGGAGAACCTGAAGCTGGCGCCTCAGACCGCTCGGCCACCTTGCCAAATGGTAGTTATTGGGGACGTCGGGCGGTATGGGTCGTTCTGGACAGAGCCCCCTCTGGAGACTCTGCCATCCATGTTTGTTGTGGTTCAAGATGCTCCTTGCGCAGAGTCCTTGGCCGGTTAACACGGTTCCGAGTATGTCAAGAGTTGGTGTCCTCACACTCAGACAATCGGGAATTACTGGCCAGACATGGACTCAGAGCAGAATTGGTAAGAAAGCATGAATGGTGCAGGTGAGCAGAGAGAGAGCAAGCTTGAAGTTCTGATGCATAATGAAGACTAGAATACTAGTACGCTGTCCACGGAGCCCAAAACTTGGATACTGATGACTTTCCAGGCACTTGGCCTCAGATCTTGCTGTACGCAGAGGGGCGACGCCACGCCACAAGAAAGCGTAAAATGCCAAAATTGTCTAGGGGTAGAGTTCGGAAAGAACAGGAAGGCGGGAAATTCCGATAGCTCTCCAAAGGTTCCCCTTCCTCCAAAACAAAACGTCCTCAGGTCGCGAGGAAAGAGAAAACAGAAAAAGAAAACAAGAAGACAAGGACAAGTGCCCTAGTTGTCGAGAACGAGATGTGCACAAGCGCAGCCGTCATTCTTCCAATCCACAATTGGTTGCTCCGAAAGCGTCTGCCATGAGATCGGCCGGGCTGGGGACAAACCCAGCGCCGCTCTCTCCGCCTGCTTCTTGGCCTCCCTTCTGTCCCCCCTTTCCCTCTCTCTCGTATCCGCCGCCTTGCGCCTTGCGATCCTCCACGCTCTCTGGTCTAGATAGTCCTGGTAGGGCTTCTTAGGGATCTTGTTCTTGACGTCCTCCCATATCTGGTACTCGCATTGCTCCCACACTTGCAGTTGGTCGATGTACTCGAGGGATAAATATGGCCTGACGTAGATCTGTGACCTCCGCTCCTTCGCCAGCGCCAGGACCTGGTCGAATGGTTTGCGGTACTTCCGCATCAGGTAGCCCATGACGATGGTTGGCGACCGGTAGATGCCAAACCTGCAGTGGACCGCCACTCTGGGCTCGCGGGCTCCGAGTCCGTCCTTGGCAGCTCCATCCGAGTCGTCGGTATGCGCTGGGTCTTGAGCCTCTTCCTCTTCCTTTTTCTCCTCCTCTTTCTTTTTCTCTTTCCCAGGGTTGCGTTTGTATCCGTACTCGACTTCTTTGTGGCGGATGCAAAATGCTTCGAAAGCGTCTACCACTGTCGAGGCATCTGAGTCGTCCGACGCGACCGAGACCTGATCATCATCGAGCTCGCCGTGTTCTTCATCATCTGGTGCGTCAGAGAGATGCTCGGAGTGTGAACCACACTGGCGGCCGAGATTCTCGTCAATAAAGTCGGAGTGTGAATCGCGCTGGCAGCCGAGTTGCTTGTCGATAAAGCCGCAGACCCCAGACAGAATCGGCAGGACGTCCATGTAAAAGTATCTCGAGACGTGGACATACAAGTGGCGGCCTCCCGGCACGAGTTCTCGGTATTCTGGAAGTTCCCATTCTGGATACGGCAGAATCTCGTAGTCGTCCCCCTCCTCAATGAGTGGGACTTGGCCCTCGAGGGATACAATGGAAGTGATGCCGTATTTTCGAAGATACTTGACTTGTTTCGCGGTGCCAGCCGTGGCGATGAAAAGACCAGGCTCAATCTCGGACACCCAGCCTGAGAATTCCGAGTCTTCAGGCATTTTGGGAGACGGAGATCTTGATGAGTCGGTTTCCTAGGTGTGCTTGGCGTGGATCCCTGCGATGACTGCGATGGGTGGGGGGAAGAAGCAGGTCCGGTTTCTTGAAGGTGTGGAAGACGGTGATATCGAGTTCGGGAATGATGTGTGAGGACACCGATATTGTGATGCTGGAGTTTGGAACGGAACGTGGTATATATAGGTGGACAAAATAAACATTTGGAACATGAATCAGGGTCCCCTATCTTCTGGAAAACGCCGTAGCGCACACTGGTGGTCGTTACCAATGGCGTCCGAGCCATGTGAGAAACGCCTACGGTGCGCAACCGCCATTCTGTTGGCGAGAAATACACATAGCTGCCGTCATGAGCTTTGTGCAGCTAATTCGGATCAGCATCATTTGACAACTTCCATGATCGCAGGCCCGCAAGATATTCTAGTCAAAGTCCCGAGGGGAGTCTGTGTCGGTTACGCAGCGGAAGTTATGCTACTCACGTCGATACGGTTCGCGTCTATTTTAGGTACTCATAGGGGAAGGCTAGTTGGGCAGAATGATATCCCCGGCGGACAATGAACCAGAGGCATCCTACGTGTAATCCAGTGTTGCTTATATGTCTTATTCAATCGAATTCCTGCAGTGTTGCGTGCATACCTGGTCACTAAGATCTTCAGATGAGAACCTGAATGATTGAGAAACCTTGATCGTGACCCTACGCCCAGTAACACACCAAGTTGCTATGGGATTATAATGACAGTTGCTACGGGAAAAGAACAAGCAGAAGCCTGAAACCCTAAGGCCCGTGGCATTCCAGTCCATTAATTGTCTTGGCTATTCAGCTTGGTTGTTCATCTCACGCCACATCACCAACAAAGGAGACTCAAGACGCGCACAGAAAGAACGGGCTGATTCACTCAACTCAGGACTCGGGCACAACTCGATTAAGTATAAATAGTTTGACCTCCTTTTTACTCCTTCACACTGGCAGTCAAGGCAATTCCCACCGAACTCCCAATATTACACTCCATCGTCCCTCACGCACGTCGCCGTTACCCCTTAAACCCCCAGTCCAAAAATCCCACCAACACCACAATGACAAGCAACACCAACCCAAACATCTCAGGCGACACATTGCGGAACGACGGCCTCGACAACCAGGACCTAACCCTACACTTGGAAAACCCCGAAATCGTTCAGATCCGCCCCGTCCTCTTCCTCGGCAACGTTAAATCCTCCACCGATCCCCAAACCCTTTACCAACACAACATCACCGCCATAGTCTCCCCCCTCATCGGTCCCTACGCGCGCTGGGAACACCCCGCGATCCGCCAAATCGTCCCCGGGGCACGGCACCTCTTCGTCCCCGCCCGGGACAGCAACACCACCGACCTACTCACCCGCCTGCCCGCCATCTGTGACTGGATCGATACTCAGATTCATCACTGGCCGACCCGCTCATCGACTCTGCCCTCACCTGCGACCCAAGGAATCGCCGGTCCCAGTCACGGCCAGTCTTATCGGCGGTCAACGTCAATACCCGCCCGAGGAAAACCAGCAGAACAAAACGTCCTAGTCCACTGCTACAACGGCACCTCGCGATCAGCCACCGTGGTCATAGCCTACCTGATGAGAAAGGACGGTAGAGGCTTGGACTGGATGCAAGAATTTGTGGAATGCTCGCGCAGCATCTATCCCAACGCCAGCTTTTTGGACCAGCTGCGTGTCTGGGAGCAGACCAAGTATCAGCTGTTTTGGCTGATGCCCAACCCTTCGGCACCTTTACAGCCGTATTATCAGCCGAAGGATGAGTACGCGGACTTTCTTGCTCGTCGTGAGAAGAAGTTGTATCAGCTACAGCAGAAGGGGGGGCAGAGCTCGAGAGGTGTAGCGGGGGGACAGTATGGGGTTGGAGGTTATGCTAGTAGTCGTTGTAGTTGTGTCTATCTTCCTGGGGATTACGGTTATTAGTACCGGGTCTTTTAGCTGGTCAAGATTTTGACTAGTTCAGTTGCGGTTCTTTCTTTCTTTTTTTTCTTTTTTCCTACCTTTGTCTTTCTGGGAACTTGAGGGGTGTGCTTAACGCATGACTGGTATCGGATGGTTTAGCGGGTACCGACCTTTACAATCAACTATTGGCAGGACCTTACACGTTTTCATTTCGGTTCTCCTCGTTCCTTTTGTGGCGTAGCTTGGAGATGTAGGTAGATAGGTACCTTAGCCTTACACTGGAAAAATAACGCTAGAGAGCCTCGTCGCATTATACAAACTTATCAAACTAGAGTTCTACCACTGTCTACTAGTGCCACTCTCGCGTGCGTGGTTACCGAGGTACTCACGCGCATAGTTTCGAGTTATGGTTCAGTCATGATAGAGTTTGTCATTCCTGCGTTTTGTCAACCTTTTCTCTCCTCAGCAAAGTTCAACCACCTCAACCAAAGCAGAGACCCTAAGTACCTGATCTAGTAATCATCAAACGTTGACAGACATTGTCAACAACCCTGGGCACACACCCCCTGACAAGAATCACCAGTATCTCTCATCTTCCCATCAAAGAACCCATTTCCGTCAGGCTATAGCTACCTACCCACTGACTTCCAGGTAAGGAACCTAGTTGGCAACCAACTTAAGCGAGTAATTCCCCGACCCATCCTTGCTATGGCCGCCCGTAGGCGACTGGCAGCACCGTCCCGCGCCATTACCCGAGTACCAAAGCTGCTGGCACTGGTTGCACCAAGCCCACTTATCCTGCTCGCCGCCGGCGGGGGCGCCGCTGCTGGGCAGGGCGTAGTCGGCGCTGCCGTCGTGGTTGTGGGTGCCGCCGCGCGGGCACACGCCGTCGGACGGGCTCTTGCTGTACGCCAGCCCGTAGCACTTGGTGCACCACTTCCAGCCGCTCTGCTGGGTCGTCCCGGCGGCTGGTGGTGCCATGCTCAGCTCGTAGTTGCCGCTGCCGGCGCTGATGTGGGCGCCGCCTGCTGCGCAGGAGGTTGTGCCGTCGTAGCAGAGGAGTTGGCAGGATTTGCACCAGCGCCACTGGGAGGAGGGAGGAGGTTAGTATCTGGGTGATTATTCGTCGTCGTTGAAGGGAAAGGTTACCTGGTCCTGACCAATGTTGGCCTGCGCGCGCGGGTTACCGTTCAGGCAGATACTGTACCGGCCACTACCATTGAAGGCGTGGGCGCCGCCAGCCTGGCACACACCAGGCTGCCAAGCCAGGCCCTGGCACTTGTTGCACCAGTTCCAGGGCGTCTGGCCCTCGCTGTCCTGGACGAGGTGGTAGTCGCCGCTGCCCGAGACGTCGTGCTGGCCGCCGGCGTGGCA